AAAGCCATGTTTCAAGCAACAAGTGATATTTTCCCAGTCATTTGGTTTCTGTTCCTGTCATATCGTGCAGATGCTGGGAATCATGGGCCGCAGTGACGTCACAGTCAGATCTTTTACCTGCATGAAAGGGCAGCTAAATAAGTGATATTGTGCATCATTTTTTGGCTTGTATCTGGGACGCACCACCCAGCAGAGAGAGACAGACATTCACATACAGGCTGAACAAGTCTGACTCTGCTCGGCTGGCATCTGTAATCCTGTCCTGTCTCACTCTGTAATTATCCTTTCCTCACTGTGCCACACTTTACATAAACAATTCCACAGTTGTGCATGAACAAACAATTCACATCACACACACACACACACAGATTTACATAAACAGAGCTGCTCCGTCCAGAAACACACTCTCTGACACAGCTTTCTAATAAACCTCACATTGCACACGATGAATATTGTTTGCTCTGTGATGAATTGCATATGCTTCTCTATTGTAAGCTGCTTTGGATGAAAGCATCTGCTGAATGCATAAATGTATATAAGGCAAAATGTAATTATACCGTTTGTAATGCAACCATATGTGAAATTCAACTTGTGTCGCCAGAAGCGTATGTATTCATATGAGTGTGTTTCAGGTCGAATATGCATTGTAGTGTAGAAATAAGCTAATATTATTATAATTTTTTTTTTTTTACTTATATGGGCATGCATATGACATATATAGGCATATTAAAAAACAAAAACTAATAACAATTTTAAAAACACAGCAAAATTACTTTAAAACCTTAAAATTGAAGAGAAATAAAATTTAAATTAAATTTTACAATTAAAATGAAATTAAAATAACATTTTGGAAAAAAAATAAAATTTTTAAAACTTTACCTAAAATCTAAATAAAATCTAAATAAAAAAACATGAACTAATAAAAACAAGAAAACAGAATTTAAACTTTAAAATCTAAATGAAATATATAGACATTAAAACAATAAAAAACTAATAAAAATTTAAAATAACAACAACAACAAAATTACTAAACATTCATTGCAAGTGTACAACAGAAATACACTCATGCATTGCTGCATTATAAATTGCATTTAGGCAAATGCAGTTTCATATTGCAGTGATGATTTGTGAGGTTTGCTGTCTTTTGCGCAGTGTTTCGGGCTTCAGTTTTCCTGTGTGCATGAGTGCTTTCATCTCTGAATGTCTCTAATGCTGAGTGTGTGTGAGTGTGTGTGTGTGTGCGTGTGTGTGTGTGAGTGTGTGTGTGCGTGTGTGTGTGTGAGTGTGAGTGTGTGTGTGTGTGCGCGTGTGTGTGTGCGCGTGAGTGTGTGCGCGTGAGTGTGTGCGCGTGAGTGTGTGCGCGTGAGTGTGTGCGCGTGAGTGTGTGCGCGTGAGTGTGTGCGCGTGAGTGTGTGCGCGTGAGTGTGTGCGCGTGAGTGTGTGCGCGTGAGTGTGTGCGCGTGAGTGTGTGCGCGTGAGTGTGTGCGCGTGAGTGTGTGCGCGTGAGTGTGTGCGCGTGAGTGTGTGCGCGTGAGTGTGTGCGCGTGAGTGTGTGCGCGTGAGTGTGTGCGCGTGAGTGTGTGCGCGTGAGTGTGTGCGCGTGAGTGTGTGCGCGTGAGTGTGTGCGCGTGAGTGTGTGCGCGTGAGTGTGTGCGCGTGAGTGTGTGCGCGTGAGTGTGTGCGCGTGAGTGTGTGCGCGTGAGTGTGTGCGTGTGAGTGTGTGTGTGTGTGTGTGTGTAGTGTGCAGTGGTGTGGCTCCAGTGCAGTCATATTAGTTTCAGCATGTAGTTGTTGTTGTCATGCTTGAATGGATTGCTTCCAGCACAGTTTATTTTACGGCTCTGGCCTGCTGCGCGTCACCCTGTCGAGCAGGTTAGGCCTTGCGTGTGTATCCACACGGCTCTGTGGGTGTGTGTGTGGGTGTGTGTGAGTGTCAGAGCAGGCATGCATCGGTCTACGTGTGTGTGTGTGTGTGCTTGTCTGACACTGTGTACAGATACTCTGCCATACTGTACTCTCTCTTTAGGGCCAAATAGCATTGCACTTTACTCTGCTGTTGTGTTTGGGTTTGCCAGTGAGTGATGTAGTTCTGTTTGATTTGTGCAGTAATCTGACTGATTCTGATGTTGTGATTCAGAGCAGCAGTAGATGTTAGTGAAGCATCAGGACTGAAGCTCTGGATCAGCTGAGGGAGGGGCTTGCTTTCTTTGCTCATCTCTTGGTATTGCAGGGCTTTATAATGATATGATTGGGGGTCACTGAGCTTCAGATGTTCAGAATGGGCGTCACCTGCGGGCCACACCTGGTCAATCACCTGCCCAACCTCATCAAGATACAGAAGAGCATCACTTACGAACAAGGTGACGCTCATCAACACCAATCATATGGCAGCGACGTCAGATATTTATTAGGCTGTCGATTTAACGTGTTTATTTGGTGTGATTTTAGAAAAAAAATAATATGTTAAAATGATTAATGCATTTAATTCACCGCCCAGTCCAGACCTGCACGTCATCTTACACTGATGCAGTTGCTGATGGTGTTTTGTTACTGAATGAATCAACGGTTTTGAACGAATCAAGTGAGTCAGTGATTCAGTGACTCGTTCATAAAGACAGTCACTTGCTTAGTTCTGAATGAATCAGCTATTTGAATGAATCAAGTGAGTCGGTGATTCAGTGACTCGTTCATAAAGACAGTCACTTGCTTAGTTCTGAATGAATCAGCCATTTGAATGAATCAAGTGAGTCGGTTATTCAGTGACTCGTTCATAAAAACAGTCTCTTGCTTAGTTCTGAATGAATCAGTTGAATGAATGATTCAGTTGACTCACTTATTAAGACAGTGACTTACTGCCACCTACTGACACTTTTAGGTTCATAATTAGAGTATCATTTAATTTGTTTAATAATTGCATATTTCAGGATTATTAAAAAACATTAACACCAATGTAATTTCATTATGCAATATTGAATCAAAATATTTCTTTCTAAAACTACTTTTTGTAATGTCTAATCAATGCTCTTCTTGCTTAAAAATAATGACTTTGATCTTTTTGGGGTGATTTCTCATTAAAAAATGTAAATGCTCAACAGCTCTAATATTTATATATTTTATATAATTTATGCATATAATTTAGCTAATTAAATTATATAAATAGAATTAAATATATGGTATTTATAGAATTGAATGCTCTATAATTAAACGGCGTTCAATTACTGTACTTAGCAGGTTATCCTGGTGTCATGTGATGAGTTAATGAAGGAGTACTGAGTTAATTTCTCCAGTCTCTCGAGTATCTGCTGAATGTCTCAGTGATTCTTCATTAGTGCAGTGATGCTGTGTCGCCCTCTGCTGGACACAAACTATTTTTATTTTTAGGTGTTTATGCTGTAATTGACAAATCAGTTTGTTGTCAAAACATGAGTTTAAAACAGTGAGTGTCAGTATATTAAATTAATTAGCCACTTACTCGTTGTATTTGATTTCAGAAATTTCAAGAACTGCACGTTCTTCAATAAAAACAATAGTTATTGAGAGGGGAAAATATAAAAAGAATTATGATTTCAGTTCACTATTCAGTTTACTAATTTGATATGTTGTTCAGCATTTTAATTAAGCTTATTTATTCAATTAAGTTAGATTAAGATTTATTTTTAGAATATATATATATATATATATTAAAAGAAAAATTAATATTTTTTAAAGATATTTATATATCAGTATAGATAATTATATATAAATATATGTATATCAAATGTGACATTTTTTCGTGACAATTATGCTCATTTTTACATGGTAAAAAAATGTTTGGAATATAATCAATTATAGTTATTCAGTTCAGCATAAATTAAAGGCAGCACAACTTATACTTAACAGTTTAAATGTCATATATATTTTTTTTTTTGCATTTTGCATTACAGTAATGGAATTTGTAGGTAAACGTTGAACACGGTGCATTTCTGAACTCCATCATGTGGTGAAAGTTATCGATTTCTATTCAGATTTGAAGCGTTTCAGTGACGCGGAGCTTTCGCGCATGCGCAGAGGCGGCGCTGGAAGCCCAAGAGTGTTTCGAGACTCGAGCGATTCCACTCCAGCGCTACTTCCGCGTTCGGTCAGCGTCACGTGATAAACGAGCCTCTGATTGGCTTATTATTTTAATTGCAGTTATAATACCACCGAATATTAAATAGTTAATACAAAATATTTAGACTTTAGAATGAGAATGATTTAAAATGCACCCGTGTTATGAATTTGTCTTTTTTAAAATTTTTTTTTTTTTTTTTTTACATTATATGAGTATAGCCACAGTATTATAACATAAAAATATAAATTATATAATATAAATAATATAAAAATGTAAATATAAAATCAAATGTTTAAAAATATTAACATATTGCAGTAAGCATAAAATACAAGACAAAGTAAACAAATAAATAAAATTAATTTACAGGTTCTTTAGCTATGAATGTAAAACGAATCTCACTCTATTAGTGTAGCTGTAGCATTATTTTCTTCATAATACATAAGTAATTTTATCAATACTTTCTGAAATAAATTATTTCATTTTAATGTAAAACTGACTGAAGGACAATTCCAAAATAAATTAAATATGGTTTCTGGATACAAAACATAAAATGTACGCGATACATCAATTTAAGCATTTCTTATTTCCCAGGTAATATTTACAGAGATAATATTTATGAATAATGGTATTTAATTTTGTTTGCATTTTTTTTTTTTTTATGGGAAAATTTCCAGATTTTCTTCCATAAAAGTCCTGCAAGTTGCATATATGAGTTTACTTTAGAATTTCCTGGGCAGATTTACATTTCAAACTATTAATGAATATGAACGTGTTATTGCACAAAAGAGAACGCAGTTCGTGACGTCACGACGTCAGCTGCAGTGAACCGGAGTGGAAGCGCTAGAAGCTCGAGCGCCGCGTCGAAGCGCAGCGACATTTTCATCTCATTTGATTTCCTCTTCATGCACAGGCCCGATTCGGACTGTCTGATCTCGAACCCACAACAGCTGGATGCTCGGAACAAACCGGAGCTTAAACCAGCCAGGAGAGAACCAGACGCTCGTGCGCGATATTCGCTGGGTGAGTCTGCGGTCATCGAGACGGTCAATGCATCTCTCATCCGATCCGATTTCACATTGATTATTGACCGTTTGCTGTCAGCTGATCGCCCGTGTTCTTCCCTCTGGTCGTTGTGTGCTCGTGCATTAGTGATTTCACACACTGCATTTCTGCTCATTGCATGTGAAGACCGCAGCGCGTTAAATAAACCACAGTTGATGTGCATGTGGAGTTTGGCAGGCGTGGCTCTCTAAACATCTCAGAGCACAGATGCTTATAATTCATCTGTATTTATCATGCACGCCTCATTTGCATAAAACATGCAGATGAAGCTCTGATTTCTCTTCTTGTTGAGCTGATTTTGCTGTTGCATCTGCTTGTTTTATTCGGGTTGATGGCATTCATCGTTTGCTGTAGTACACTGTGGTGCTTTGATATTTCTGAATGATTGTCATAGTAATGCATCACGGTATTTCCATGCAAAATGATATTGTCATGATTTCTGGCCAAAAGCATGGTTATTATGATGTGCCATCTATAATATGGCCATATTATAGTATGGTTCGTTCAGGATAATTGGGACTTTTTTTTGCTCTCTAAACATCTCAGAGCACAGATGCTTATAATTCATCTGTATTTATCATGCACGGCTCATTTGCATAAAACATGCAGATGAAGCTCTGATTTCTCTTGTTGAGCTGATTTTGCTGTTGCATCTGCTTGTTTTATTCGGGTTGATGGCATTCATCGTTTGCTGTAGTACACTGTGGTGCTTTGATATTTCTGAATGATTGTCATAGTCATGCATCATGGCATTTCCATGCAAAATGATATTGTCATGATTTCTGGCCAAAAGCATGGTTATTATGATGTGCCATCTATAATATGGCCATATTATAGTATGGTTCGTTCAGGATAATTGGGACTTTTTTTTTACCCAATCATTGCAATAGCAAAAATTGTTCTAATTTACTAGAATTCATCCTAAATAAATCATAATACCATATCTATACAATGTTTATATGCCATGGTATTTGCATTGCACTCCAAGATACTGTAAGGAATACCTTGGAAATGCTGTAGTACCATGTTTAATGTGCTGACAATGCTAACGAGCGTGTTGTAAAACGAGGAGAGTTTAAAGAGCCAGACAGCAGCACGTGAGGAGGCCGTCTGTCGCCTCTGTGCTTTTTTCAGGCTCGGAAAACATAAATATTTAAGGCAGGACACTACAGGTGAATAGAGTAGAGATATTAACTAATAAATACACTGTTGATATCTAAGTTACAAACAAAGGGGAAAAAATCCTGACCAGGGGCGCATCAGATACTCGCAGGCAAAACTATATATTGAAGTTGTTTTATATGCACTAATTTTCATCTGGATGAAGCCAGATTCATAATTCTTGTTTGATTTTGTTGATTTTTATAGAGGGGATTTTGGATTTCTCTTTGGATTTTTATCACTCCAGAAATCCTGTCAACAAACAGAAATAAACATATTTTCGCCATGTTTTTAGGAATAGAATGTTGTATAAATCAGTGTGAATGATATATGAACAAACCCCTCAGTAAAAACCTTCAGAATATAGAGAGGAATAAAACTCTAAGTTTTGGTGTGTGTAAGTGCTGCTGAAGTGGAGAAAAAAACTCATTTTTAAAATATGTATTGTAAATTAAATCTACGGATGCAAATAGATAAAATGCAATAATAAAACCACATAAATGATATATGAAAAAACCCTTCAGTGAAAACCTTTAGAATATAACTAGGTATAAAACTCTAAGTTTTGGTGTTTGTAAGTGCTGCTCAAGTGAAGAAAAAACTCACAGCCTTTAAAGAAATGCATTTTCACCACGTTTTTATGAATAAAATATATAAATCGGTTATATAAATCAATGTGAATGATATATGAACAAACCCCTCAGTAAAAACCTTCAGAATATAGAGAGGAATAAAACTCTAAAGTTTGGTATATGTGAGTGTTACTGAAGTGGAGAAAAAACTTTTAAAGCTATGAATTACAATTAAGAATCTACCGGCGTGAATAGATAAAAGTGCAATAAATCAAACACTTAAATGTGTATTCTGCATGCTTTCTTTCCACTAGTCTCAAAGAATACATGTCATGGAAGCAAAATAGACCTCAAAACTCAAAATTGTCCAGTGCATGAAAAAACACTGGTTTTGCTTGTAGTTTCTTGCTTTAAAAGTCATGGAAGTTTCTGTAGTCTATATATATAGTTGGTCATGTAGAAATGACTATTTTGTGACTGTAATCTAGTGCTGGGCGGTATGACCAAAAATTTATATCACGGTATTTTCCAAAATTATACCGGTTTCACGGTACATGACGGTATTTTTTTTTCATGCATGACCGGGTGTTAACCATATTTTCTACTGATTGAGAGGAAACTGTAATCTAGTCTACAGATGGATTGATCGGAGTTGTTATTGCAGGAATCATGACTGTAAGAACCCAATCATCTGTGGATCTGATCTTCTGTAGCTTCACTGTTTTAATCTCCTCGTGAGGAACATCTCAGATGCGTTTGAAAGCAAGACTCTCAGTTTCATCGGTGATAGTGTCTCTAGTCTCTTCAGTGTCATAAAAACATGTTTCTTTTGATAGTTCTGATCTGTTTGTGGAGCTCCAGTGTTTTCAGAGAGACTCTGATGGTTGGCTGATGTCGAGTGCATTGATTAAACTCCATTAGTTTTCAGGATTCACATGCGTTCGAACCCCTGCGGCCTTCAGCGCTCTGTGTGATTGACAGTGACAGTGACGGTGATCTGGTCCATTCAGTTCATTGACGTGCCGTTACCTTTTCATTTTGAACTGCTGATGCTCAGAAACGGCTATTGTGGATGTTTGGTCAGCCACAGAAAGTGTTTGGATGTTTAAATCACACTTCAAATGTCTGAATGGGATTTATATTAGATGCAAAGAAAGATGTGCAAACACTATTATTTTGCAAGCTCGGTTTGAAATGCTAAAGCAATGCCACATAAAACCACATCTTGGTTTTGAAGACGAAGACAGTCAGTGTTGTGTTTGCTTGTGGTTAGTTAGTGGCTGATGTTGGTGGTTAAAAATTTGTAGCATCCTCTAAAGTTGCATCACCACAAAACCAGCTGATGAAGGCTGTGTTCATTGCATCCAGCAAAAAAAATTTTTTGTTTTTAGTTAAACTTATTTTGCAAAATATATACAATAAAAAGCAAGAAAATACAATTGTGCATGAAGTACTGGAAAACCCATCATGGCTTATTTAAAACCTCCACCTAAACAACACTTAATTTTCACAAAATTACAGAAAAAAAAAAGGTTTTTGTATTCTAGTATTGAGTATTCAAAAAAGGTTCAAGATAAATGTTACTTTATACAATCTTCATTTACATTCCTGCAAAGATGACAGAAAATTTACTCAATTAAATTGCAATAAAAAATCTACAGAACACAAATAAATAAATTGCAATAAAACAAACACTTAAAGAGTGTTTTGGATGTTTTCTTTCCAGTGTCCAGAAAGAAGACATATTATGGAAGCAAAATAGACCTCAAAACTCAAAACTGGCCAGTGCATGAAAAAAACCACAATTGGTGTGCCTGTAGTACCTCGTCTTAAAAGTCATGGAAGTTTCTGTAGTCGATATATATACAGTGGGTACGGAAAGTATTCAGACCCCCTTAAATTTTTCACTCTTTGTTATATTGCAGCCATTTGCTAAAATCATTTAAGTTAATTTTTTTTCCTCATTAATGTACACACAGCACCCCATATTGACAGAAAAACACAGAATTGTTGACATCTTTGCAGATTTATTAAAAAAGAAAAACTTAAATGTACTGTTCTGCTGTGCATTTTAGACGATAAATGCATGCCGATTTTGTTTGGTGCTTGGAAATACCACTGTGAATGGAGAGTGTTTTGAAATTAAATATTCAAAATTTATCCAGATTAATGTGAGATTTTAAAGGGGTCATAGGATGCCCATTTTCCACAAGTGGATATGATTATTTAGGGTCTTAATGAAAAGTCTGTAACATAGTTTGGTTAAAATTTCTCAATGGTGGTGTAAAAAACACCTTTTTACCCTGTCAAAAACAGCTCTTTTCAGATCAAGCCGTTTTTGTAGCATTT